GGCGGCAGCAGCGGGCAGCCCCCGCGAGGGCGAGGGCTGTAGGTGTAGCTGTGCTGGCAGGCGGCCGCCCCCTCTCCCCCTCGTCCTAGTCTCGGACCAAGCGAGGGTCGGCGTGCGGAGCCGGGGGCTCTGCTTTCCTGGCGCCCGGCTGTGCCTGTGGCCGTCTGCGCCGCTTTAAAAAAAAAGTGGATGTGAAATCCTTCCTTGGGCGATCCCGGGGAGTTTTGCATCCACTTTTTAGACAGTCAAGGCTGCAAGAGGGAGGATACCTGAGAGGCAGGCGGCTTCTGCTTGGGCTGCGGCATCGCTGCCCAGCCTGGCTCAAGGAACCACTCACCTTGACAGGAGCAGAAATGCTTGGGACCTGTGAAAGTGGGGCGCTGCGCCTTTGCATGCCTCGGTTCCCCTAGCTGTACAACAGGCCATGATGAGAGTTGTTGCCACTTGTAGAACACTTTGACTGCCTGGTGTCACAGTGGAGCACTGTCACAGTGACCCACAGATTTGCCTCCTTGTTCATGCTAAGAATGATTTTTCTGCTTTAAAATCTCAATTTTGTTTTATTTTTTTAAAGAAAGCTCAGAAAAGTGTTGTGGGTTTGTTTTCCAGGGTCATGAAGAAGATGACAGGAAGGTAAGACGGAGAGAAAAAAACAGAGTGGCTGCCCAGAGAAGCCGCAAGAAACAGACACAGAAAGCAGATAAACTGCACGAGGTGAATGGACACCTTTATGTTCTCAATTTGTCTTTTTTTCGGTGCTATGTCTGGGATTTAACAGTACCAGGAATTTCTTAAATACATGTGGGGGGGTTTTTCATACTAATTTAGTGAGAACAACTGTGGGTGTGGTGGCGAGATACATGAGTTTCCCTGCCACATCATGCAGGTGGTCTCTGTAATGCAATACTTTTGTTTCGGACGCTGAAAATCTCCTGTTGGCTGGAGATGTAACAATCCCAAGGTGGAACAATTAAGAGAGAGTAGCATATAGGGAAAGCTTCTTTTCCAGTTCCCAAAGGGAACTGAGGTATGAGGGTTTATAGTCTTATGTAACTAGATGTTTTTATTATCCATATAAACATTGATCCTTTTTGAAATTGTCTTGTGTTCTCTGCCTCAGTAGTGCAGTGTGACAGAGCTTACTGGATCTCCAGTTGGAAAGCTTATAGAATAGCTATTGTTTCTCTTCTGTAACTCTCAGTATCCAGTATAGCAGGGCTGCTGATGCCACCGTAATATAAACATTCAGGACTTCAGCTGCTAATGCTTTTATGTAAGTGATACAGCACTCAAGGTCCCATTCAGCCAAGCATTCTATCTGTCTTCTACACTGTGTAAATAAGAATTATCCACAGAAGATGTTTCTATTATTTCTTTGTCCTTGGGGCTGGTAGAAAAGCACAGGAAAAATTACAAGCATCACCACACCTGAATACAATTATACCTAGAGGGGAAGCACCACAGTTTTATGAGTTTTTCCTCTCTTAACATGTACAAGAGCTTGCTTCAAAGCTCCTCTACAATCAAAGAGTAAGCTTATTGCCATATGCAGTTTCTTTACAAGAGGGGCTCAGGATTGGAGTAATACACATTGGACAAGACTTGGATGCTGTAGCAAACTGTTTAGAAATCAACACAGCAGCTGCCCCAGGTGGCATCTGATTTTTTCAAGTGTTCTTATGAGCTTCAAATTCCTACAAATTTAAATAGATGAATAATAAAGACATCTCAAGTGGAAGAGAATGTATTACTTTTGTTAAGTTGCATGATACTTTCATTTTTTCAGACGGGAACACATAGTGACTCATGATTTTCTGGCATGCTTGCTGGTCATTGTGGCTGGAAAGCTACGAATTATCGAGAAAGTGCTGTTAGACCATGTTCAGTTGAAACTAAAGACCGGAAATCAAATGATTTTTGTTTTTCACTGAAACCAATACTGTTGGCAAGATGGCATTGTCCAGCATTGGACAATATGCCAGTTCACTTTATGTGGAAAGAACTTCAACAAACTGGCCAAGTCCCACATGCACAATGTATGATAGCTGTGAATGAGGGGTTCACAGAAACTTTTAGGTCTTTTTCAATCATCAGTTTATACAATAGGTACTGTAAGAGGAAATCTAATTCCTCTCAACAGCTGCTTTTGGTTTCTACCAAAACCAGAGATTGGGCCCAGTAGACCCCAAGGTCCTATGTGGCTGATTACAGTTACACAGAGTGATATATATTCAAGTGGGAAATATTTGCTCAATTTCCCAAACCAGACCATGACTCTGTCCTGCCTGACTTGGGTATTTTGTTTTTTCTCAGCTCAGTCAACACAAAGCTTCCCTGCTGCTGCCCCTGTGAGAGAGAATCATTGTCCCATTGAACTCTGACACCACCTTTAAGTTTGAAAGTAGAGGGCAGGGATAGGAAAACATCCCTCACTTCCATTTTTTGGCTTCAAGAATGGCTCATTTGGACAACTTTGAGCCTAAATGTCCTAAAGCACCCATGAATTGCAATTAATTGCACAACATAGATCAGCCCAGGGTCAAAGTAATGCAAAAGTGGCTAAATGTTGTTTTTCAAAATTTCTCTTGAGTGGCACTATGTGGTCCTTGCCACAACTCATGGCCTGGACTCTGGACTGTGGCTCAGTCAGAACAAAGACACTGGGGCAGTTATCTTCTTACAAGCACACATATTTATAAAGCTAGTTCAGTCTTTTGTCTGATGTTAATTTCTAAGAATACATTATAAACAGGAGTGATCTTTTTTTTTCCTCCCATCATTTGATAAAACAATGGTAGGAGGCCCCAAGAGGAACATTTTGGACTGAGTAGGCTTCCTTTCTTTATTTCAGGAATATGAGTGCCTTGAACAAGAAAATACCTCCCTGAAAAGAGAAATTGGGAAGCTAACAGATGAGATGAAACATTTGAGTGAAGTGTTGAAGGACCATGAAAAGATCTGCCCTTTATTGCACTGTTCCGTGAACTTTGTGACCATACCTAGGCCTGATGCCCTCACCAGCTGCCTGCCAAGATGACAGCTGCTCTTTTAAGTGCTGATTATTGTTGTACAGGGACAGGAGAGATTTAAAGATCCAGCTGCTTCTCCTTACAACAATACAGGTATATCCTGCCCTTGCAGAGAGATGTTCTTGACTTAATAAGTCTTTTTCACACACAAGTGTCTTGCTCTGCTGAATCTCAGGAAAACACCAATATGGGGAAAACAAGACTGAGTTACATTTTCTGCCCAGTAGAAATTGGATCATGGTTTCATATTCATGGATGTGAGAAAAACAAAATTAAGTTACATTTTCTGCTTGGTAGAATCTGGATCATGGTTAAAGCGATCTGCTTTTGCTGGATGGACACTCAGTGACAAAAAAGATTAGAGGTCATGAGCTGGGATGTCCTGACCTACACTTGCTCCCCTCCCATGCACTATATTGAAATTATTCTTCATTTTGTCATCTCTACCTTTTATTTTATACATATCTTGGTCATTCATTTTTTGTTTACACTAAGATTTGGCTAATAAAAGTAATTTTCTTCCTGTATCTTTATGGTGCTCTCCACCTTCTTCAATATCCCATGTCTTTTGGACACCTTTACTTTTGCTTACTGGACAAATCTGAAGTCTAATGCTAATCTCCATGTCTTCAACATGTTTTATTGCCTTATCACCAGCTTCAGGTTGTTACTGAAAAGCCTCATTGGTTTCCCTTACAAAGCATGTGCAGCAGTTGAGTGCGGTTCATCTTCACTTCCCTAATCCTTGGCCCTTGACCTGTCAATCTTCAACGTGCTTTATTCCCTAGAATAGGGAGAGTCCTCTTTCTTCATGAAGCTTGCTCAGTTTGCATGGAGTAAGTGCAAAATTGTTTTTTGCTCTAAGTTTTGGGTCTAACTCGTTGGAGCTAGTGAAAATAGGTAAGGCTGAATTGGGGCTTTTATATGTGTTGTAATTCACTAGTTGTTCTTTTTTCCCCCATGTCCCAGTTACATGCCTAAGGCAACTGCTCTGAAAGGAAAGGATAACATAAACCTAGCTGAGCATTCTGTTCATCCAGTTTTCTAAATGACAGAAGTTTTTTTTAAATGGTTTTAACAGATAAATTTCACATACATTTTCCTTTCATAATGGAAGAATTGTTACAAAATCCAAGAGAAAAGGATTGAAAAACTGTTCATTTTTCCATAACTTCTAAGCAACCCTGTAGTTTGAAGAGTTTGTGTGCTATGGTATGGAGTCAGACAAAGAGGTATCCTCCTCATATTTCATACATTCATAGAAGTAGGGTCAGAAGGGACCTTGTAGATCTTCTAGTCCAACCCCCTGCTGTGGGCAGGAGAGAGAACTGGGCTCAAATGACCAAAGCCAGGTAAGCGTCAAGCCTCCTCTTAAAGACCCCCAGGGTAGAAGCCATCACCACTTCCCTTGGAAGTTGGTTCCAGATCCTAGCTGCCCTGACTGTGAAGTAGTGCCTCCTGATATCTAGTCTAAACCTACTCTCTAGCAACTTACGGCCGTTATTCCTTGTTACTCCGGGAGGTGGTCAGAGGAACAGGGTCTCTCCTAAACCCCACTGGTCCCCCCTAGTAAGTTTATAGACAGCCACCAGGTCCCCCTTCAGCCTTCTCTTGCAAAAGCTGAACAGGTTAAGGTCCCATAGCCTCTCCTCATAGTGTCTGCCCTGCTGTCCCAAGATCATGCAGGTGGCCCTCCTCTGGACCCTCTCAATGCTGTCTGCATCCCTCTTGAAGTGTGGCGCCCAGAACTGGATGCAGTACTCCAATCTGGCCTTCCCTATAGCCAAAGATAGCCTTTGCTTAAGATGAAAACCTTTGACACCTTTATACTATTAGGGATTAAGGCCCAGATAAAGTTAGAGCGTGTAAACAAAAAGAACACTGCAAAAACCTGAAATTAAAAAGCTCTGTCTTCATATAGGCTGTGGGGATGCACCCAGAGTGCAACTTCAAAGCACTTGGGCAGAAACAGAATGTA